TGTCTTTACTTATCATTTGGTATATTTTTTTTGTAAATCTGACACTTAACCTGCCCACAGGGGGGGATTTAAAATGACAACGTTTTCACAAAAAATTTACTTTTTCAACATAACTTTTGAAAATGTTCCGGAAGGTCTGACACTTTTATATATATCTTAAATTAAAGCTAATGTAATATACTTTAATTTGAAAAAAAAAAATTTGACCTCTGGACTTGTCTTCATGGTGAAAACGGCTACCGAATGCTATTTTTGTGTGAAAATTTTCGATTTTATAATTTACATTTTTTACTTTAAAGTGCTATAACTTTTTAAAAAATGTATGGATCAATACAATTTTTTCATGAGAAGTAGTATTTATATACATCTTTCATTGGATATACTTTTTTTTTAAATCAGACTATTTCCCTATATATGGGGGGGCTTCAAATATAAAAAATGCATATAGAAAGTAGAACTTTTTCAACTTAACTTTTGAAAGTGTTCCGGAAGGTCTGACACTTTTATATATATCTTAAATTAAAGCTAATGTAATATACTTTATTATGGAAAAAAAAAATTTGACCTCTGGACTTGTCTTCACGGCGAAAATGGCTACCGAATGCTATTTTCGTGTGAAAATTCTCGATTTTATTATTTATATTATATTTAACTTTATAATGCTATAACTTATTGAAAAGTTTATGGATCCACACAATTTTTTTATGAGAAATAATATTTTTTAATAAACCCTTTTTCATTTGACATACTTTATCTTTATCGAGATATTAATAAGGAACCAGCAGATCAAGTAGCTTTTGGAATAAAACACCAATTTTTTTAAAATTAAACACTATCTAAAGATTTGCATCGAAGCGTTTATTTTTGATAGTGATTTTAATCATTGTCAGATATCATTATACTTGATCCAACTATACCACGTCACAACTGTGCCGCGACCCCCCTGTGCTGGGTTTTTTTTAAAACTTATACTGAGTGATCGGTTTATGTATAACTCGCCTGCTTGCAAATTTATACAATATTGGAAAAATAATTTTAAATTTCTTTTAGTTATATATAATTTTTGATATATCAACTAATAACTACTTTTTAGGATCATAACTTTTTAAAATTAAACACTATCTAAAGATTTGCATCGAAGCGTTTTTTATGATAGTGATTTTAATCAGTGTCAGATATCATTATACTTGATCCAACTATTCACGTCACCACTGTGCCGCGACCCCCCTGTGATGGGTTTTTTTTGTAATTGAGTACCTTTATTGCGACCCGTTACCTAAATTAAACCAGTATTTATTGATCATATAAACAGTTGTATCTACGCTGGACGTTAGTAGGTACAGTACCAATAATAAATCAATAAATACGTCTATGTCATTTACTTATCAGGTAATATTTTAAAAGGCGCGAATGCTTTTCTGAAAATGCTTAAATAAGAATTTTTTTTTTAGTAGTAATTATACAGAAATATTGATAGGCATAATAATAAATTTAAAAAAAAAAATAGATATCTTACCACAAAATAAATAAATAACCATATTTTTTAGATACGTACCGTATTTTGGCCAAGTTAATATGAGGTATAATCAATTATTAAAGTATAAAACATCATGTTGTTAACCAATATGTTAAATAACATACTGTTTTTTTTTAATTATATAAGTATAATATTATATAATATCTTCAAAACAATATTTATTTTTAAAAATATTTTCAATCTCTTCTTAAAATTTTAAATCATTTATAACATAATAATTATATAGTTAAATTACTTAACTACATAAAAAACGTCTCCTAAAATTATATTTTTAATAAAAAATTACTATTTAAAAACAGTAACATCTCTGAATTCTATTACGTCTTTCAGTAATTGTGTATCCCGTTTTAGAAAATGTCTGTTCGCACGGAACAGATTTTGAAGGAACAACATCTCAACAATAAAAGATCAAATAAGTTAGGAAATTTCATTTTCCTCTCACTCCACCATAACAAAGTATCCTACTTTCTTTTTATTATAGGCTCGTTTAAATACCTATCTAGCTCAATAATTAGTTCAAAAGTAGGAGTTTTTTGTTATGAAGTTAACACCTTAAAAAATTTAAATATTTGATTAAATAACATAATAAATAAATAAACTTTTTTGTTGTTATATCTGAGAGTCAAACAGTTTTCAAATGTCGATAAAAAACTGATGAAACGAAACTAATACCAAATCTTTTATTCTTTTCAATATCTCATAATGCTCAAAAAACCCTACTTCATTAAAAAATTATACAAAGTTAAGCAAATTTAATGCACTTTAAGATGGTAAATATTCAAAAACTTGATTTCTAGGAAATATTGGGCATTAAAGTCAAAAATCATACAATTTCCGGTAACAATTGCCGATTTTGTAGTATTTTGCATAGCAACTCAACATCTACATTCTCATTCAAAACAAAATTAAATTATAGATTATTTAATGTACTTTACAGAATGTGATTTTTGATGGTTTAATAAATCGATCTACTACCTATTTGAATAATACATGGATCAAAATAAAATTTCTAGAGATAATAAATAAAATAATTTATAACTATCAACATCCTTTTTTGAAAATCCTATCATATATCAAAGCACTTGGAAGGGGCAAAATCATTATAACATTTTTTTTTTTTTGTAAAATACGCACCGAAGCGTTTTACTTATGACAGAGAGTTCAATAAGTCACACTAATAATCAATACTAATTTTAAAATATCTCGATTAAAAAATACAACAAAAATACTGCACTTAACTTTTTTTTTTAATTTTTGGCATTATATAAATGGTTAACTATTAGCACCTCGTCAAAAGGGCCTAGTGTTTATACCAGGGTTAAAAATTGACGACTTTTTTTTTCAATGGTGTGCCCAAAAAAATTGGCCAGGGTGTCAAAAATCTAAATTTAGCTCTGATTTATACATATTATATCTTTTACATTCAATTAACAGAGACCATAAAAGGGGCTTAGCTTATAAAAAAGAAAACCAAAGACTATTTTTTAATATGAATAATCACATTTTAACTAGTGATGGACATAATCAAGATATTTCGATTATGAGTAAAATAATCATAATTTCGTAATTGAATTAATCTATTTTAAATTTCAATAATAGTATACATACATTATACATTAGTAGGTAGTATTATAAAAACATCTTATGTATATTTCTTTACTTATACTTAATTGAATAATTTGGTTATAAGTTATAAATGTATTTAATGTAATCGAAACATACTCAAAATCATTATTAATAATCGATTATTATTATCAAAAGAATAAACAATTTTAATTTCGAGTAAAATTTCAAGAAATTTTCTGGATTACTAATAATTCGATTACGCCCATCACTAATTTAAAATATGTGGATGGATACCATTAGCAGTTTTAAAATTGGTGGTCTAGTAACAGTTGTTTTTTTAAGATTATTAAAAAACCAAGAGATAGCGTTATTTTTCCATCAAGTAAGAAGAGGGCGGCCTAGTTAACGGTTTACCAAATAGACAGTTACTGTAGGTCGTAATTACACAATCACGAACAAGTACTCAGATCACTACTGTAAACATTTGGGAATCAACTTTATTTTGTACCGACGGAACAATAGTGTAACGACCAAGTGTAATCGGTCCTACTTGTTTTACCAATGTACTTGTTATTTTGGACCGATTACACGAGTACCGACCCATCACTATAGTTAATACATGTAGTGCATGCATATGTTGTAAATATTCTAAAAGTGATTAAATAATAAACCGTCTATCATTTTTCTCTTTTTTACCTAAAACGGTGTTTTTATTTAATGTTTAATCAATACGCGAAACACCTAAGTAAATGATTAGTATTATACTGTGCCTTTTGGAAAATTTGAATACTATCAAGAATTTTATATGTGGTTACTATTTTGTTACCGCAAATCATCAGTGATAAGAATTTGGTAGCTCAATACTTATTGTTATGTTATGTTTCCTCATCATATCATTAAATCTTATAAGTAAATATTAATATTTTAGATTTTCTTTCAACTTAGTTGTTTTAATAAGTTGTATAATATTTATGTTAAAATATAAAGTAATGTGATTGTTAAATGCGTTGTTATAAGAAATGAACTATAATAATTATAACTAAATTTTTACTAAATTAAATTGGATTTATTATTTTTTACTAGTATGTCTCTTGTCTCATATGCGTATAGTGATTCTGATGAGGACAATCAAGAAACCACATTTGATGAAAATCGTATAGATATTAATACTCCTAAACATAAAACTTTTCTAAAACTACCCGAACCAAAATGTAAAGAGGAAGTCAAAATATTTAATGTTGATATAAAAGGAATTGATAATATTAGTACTTCAAACAATAAAAAAGCAAAAGAATATAATAATGTTTTTGATAAAAGAGTAGGAAATTCATTAACTCCTTCATTAGTATTACCTAAACCTAAATCTGACGGTAAAGTGCAAATAACTATACCTTCATTGAGTGATGTATGATTTTTTAAAAATAATTATAGCATTAGAATGTTTTCAAAGTTTTTTTGTGTATTTTAGTTTAATGATGATGATGATGATGAGACTTATCAACCTAAACGAAAAATTATCAAACAATCTAATGTAAGTCAAAAATAAAAAATATTCTTTGAATAAAATTATAAGTTTTTATTTTTTAATAATATTCATTAATATTATAAATGGTTAATAGATTAATTATAATCAATATCTTAAAAATTAATAATAATTATTTTTTTGTCTCCAATGTTGTATCTAATATGAAACAATCTTATTTGTTCTAACTTATAGTAATAAAAGTTCAATAATCACGCAAATGTAGTTATAAAAGATATATTTAAACAATATAAAAAGTACAAAACAAAGATACACTTCAAACAGTGCTCTAATAAAACTTTAAGAATAAAACTTATCGTCATAAAAGTATCATTCGAAATGAGATTACCTTCTGTGCTCCCGAGGTTCTCTCTCTCCTCCCTACAATTCATTCCATTTCGTCTTATATAATAAAATATTTTGTTTTTCTTCTTTTTACGAATACGACATTAATAATACAATCAAAAATTGTTTATAAATATTTACTTCTTGGTCTAGTAACAATAATTCAGGAAATTACAATTAATCAAAACATTAAAAAAATGTTTTACTTTCAGCTTTACAAAATAATGACCTATATTACACCAATCAATCACTACTCAAATAATAATATGTGTTAAATTTTAATTATTTTCAACATAGTTGTTGATCTATTAATCAAAATGTTTGCTAATTGCAATCCAATTTATTATATAATTTTTTTGAACAAGTTTTATTATTTACTATTCAATTAATACTATTCAAGGGCTTATAAATATCAATTTAAAATATAATTTTTTAACTAATTACTTTCAGAATGGATGTGGTTTATTTTCAATGTTGCCAAATCCTAAAAATCAGAAAACTGTAAAAGCTACATCTATTATTTCAATGGTTCCAAGATCTGCTGTTCATAAAATTGACGCTGTTGTAAAAACTCAACAAACAGTTTCAGAAATCAAGCTTTTTGAAAACAAGTCAACAGAATTGGAAGATGAAGTTGAAAATAATGAAGAAGACTTAGATTTCTTAGGGTTAAATAAATTAAATGATATACCTAATGTTGCACCAATAGATGGATTTGAAGTACCAGAAATTAAAAATGATACTTCTATTATAGAAAATGATGACAAAGTATTTGGTCCTGTATATTGTCCCAATGATGCTCAATCTGATATATATGAAGATAATGAAACAAAATTAACATTAGATTCCAATGCGGTGTGTTTAAAAATGTTTGATTTAATTTGTTTTTCATCATTATTAACTTGGTTTCTTTTAAGCATGTGATAACTTTTATTTCAGTTAAAACAACTAGGAGACCGCGATAAGAATCTAATTAAACAAGTTGAAGTTATTAATGTTAACATGAGCCAAGTGTTAGAAGAATCACAACAATGGCTACAAAAGAACATGACTGAAGAGTATGCTGAGAGTAGAAATGTCAATAGTGATATAAATGTAACTGGACAGTCTAAAAGAAAACATCAAATCACATACTTAGCTCAACAGGTTTTTATTTGTTTAATTAATTTTATAAAATATTCCTTTAATTTAAATGCTACTTCCATTGTTGTTATTTATTCTTCAAATTTATAGGCTAAAGCTAATGAGCTGAAACTCAAAAATATGTGGGCTGAAAATAGGCTAACTAGAAAACAAACTCAGGCAAAGTATGGATTTTAACACTAATACTTATGAGGTAGGTATAATTTAATTTGTAATTGTTATGAATAAAAAGTTTCTAAGAAAAATAAAGAAAACAATGAATATAATTATTTTATATCCAGTATTTTTATATACTATAATTTTTATTATTTAAATCTCAAATATTTAATATAAAAATAAAATAACTTTTAGCTTCGAATCAAAGCTGATAAGGTAGAATAGATAGGATTAAAATAGCAACTTTTGTTTGAAAAGTTAATTGACAAGTATGTGACAGAATGCATCAGCTGAGCTTTACTTACTATGCTACATATCCATTCTATGTATTTTAAATGCTGAAACGGTCAGTCAGATAAAAAAAATTGAAGGAATGAAATAAATATTTTTGAACTTAATGCTATTTTAGAGTTATATAAACCTAATATTTTTTCAATTGCAAAAATTTAAAATTCTTACTAGGTTCTAGAAAGATGAGTGACTTACCTAATTTTAAGCACTCTGTAAATATCCAGTTTTAACTTTTCCCCTTTTCAATAAAAAACTAAATAATATTTGGTCTAAATTATTAAATATCAATTTCAAACTAATTATAATTAATATCAAAATATTTTTGTTTTTTTTAAGTAACTAATTTATTTCTTAGAGAACTTATAACTGAAATATATTTTTATAAATGTGATTTTATGCTGTATTTGACATAATCCAAAATCCCTTCTTATAAATACAGCCTACAAATTTATTTGAAAGAATTTTTGTTGATAGTGATTTTAATCAGGTTTCAATACTGGTGTTCACTATATTCTGTTTTGGGTTTTTTAATGTAACCCTACTAAAATAGTTATTCTATGTAAACATTTATTTTTTAGACTCCACTTAAAAAAAGTATAATTTGTAACCAGTGTGTATTTGAAACTCCTTCTGGGGAAGACTTAATTTTTTTTACTATAGTAAACTGTCTTTAAATAATTTTTTGTTTTAAAAACTTCCCTAAAAAGTGTTGATAAAATCCCAAACCAACCTATTTTTTGTATTTGTTATCTCATATCAGTTGATTCAATAAAAATAAATGACTGGGTTTCATATTATAAATAAACAGACCAAAACTAATTGAGAACAGTCCTCATGATTAAACCTTAAAATTAAAAATCATCTTAATGTGTTTGATACTATCTAAAATGATTTAATAATAATTTTATTTATACAAAAATATTTATAAATAAAAATGTTGTAGTTAAAAAAATAAAAAACCAACTAACTAGTTCTGTATATTTTAGTAAATAACTTAAAAAAACTTGACTAGTGTTACATAAGACAATTTAACTTTAAATAGTTGTCTTCAATATTTTTCTCGTAGTAAATAATTCCCAAGAAGTGTCATTAAAATAGCTCCAGTTGGTGCTGTAATAAGTATTGCTAGTACACTGATTGCTAATACATCTGATGCATATTCAATCTGATTAGAATCATGGTATCTACGTGCCATATCTAATGCTAAAGGACCAATTGCCGCCTATTAAAAAATATACTATTAATAAATTTTCAAGATTTATAGTTTAAAAAAATATTTAAAATATATAAAAAGTTTACTTGTACTGTTGCTTTGGGCATCCATGCAATATTCACAAATAATTTTTCCTGCATGTTAAAATTAGTATCTTTTAATACAAAGAAACATGTTAGAACTCTAACCTAAAACAAACAAAATATAAATTATTATAATGAATTAAAACAGACATTAAAAAAAATGTCAAGCCATATAACTTGATAAAGAATTATTAAAATAATATATATTTTCAGTGATGGGTTTAGAAAATGCATGTCCTATCACAATGTTAAAAAAACAAAAATAAAAACCATTTTTTTATTTATAAAATGAAGATATAAAATTATCCCTTTTACTGTTCAGCCTAAATTTTTGTTAAATTATTGTTAAAACCAACATTTTATAATTTTATTATCAAGTATCAATTTTTACTCTATACACCTTAAAGTTTTAGTGTTCATTTGTTAAAGTATTTTAAATATAGGTGCAATTTGTGAGATTTAAGGTGGCTAAGCTCATCTAACAATAAAAATTATATGTATTTTCATATAAAATTATTTAAAGTAATGGAGAAATTAAATTAGAACTCTTATAATTTTATATTTAAATTGTGTCTAAGATTATAAACCTAACTCATAACTGTAAAAGATATAATTATATAATATACTCATTTAATACATTAAGTTAAATTAGTTTTCAAATGAGGTGAAACATTTTTCTTACACATGATATTATGAAAAGAAGGATAGATGCTGAAATGATCAGTGATGACTTTAAAGCAGTTAAATTTATTTCAGTACCAATTGATGCAAATAATATTGGCTCTAGTAGATTCCATATACTGTTAACTATGCTTTCTACATCTTCCTGTTAAATAAATAATTAAAAATGTGTAGTTTACTCTTAATTAGGTACTATATAACTCAAAATTGTATTAAATAAACTACAATCTACTTTGGTTTTTACTTACATTAAATGAATTATTATTTTTCCAGCATATATTTGCAACAAAAGCAGCAGTCATAGCTGCTAAAGGACCACCACCTGAATATCCGACAACTGTAAAGCCAAATACCAGCAATATTCCTCCACCTGTTATGACATATGCTCTTTTCATATTCAGATTTTCCTTTAAACAATAAAAATTCAATTCTATTAATATTTTCTAATGAAAATTTATATACAATACATATATAGATATGTAAATAATGACATAACTTTAAATTTCTTACTTCACACTTATGTGGTATGAATCCAGCAACAATTCCCCAAATAATCCCACAAAAAAGACCCATTGCAATTTCTAAAGGTCCTTGTATGATATTAGATGTCCAATTTGCTAAAATATTATTTATTTTTTATGACATACTGAAGGGTTTTTAAAAACTATAATCATACAGACTTGAAAACAAAAAACCAAGACATACACCAAATGCAGAAATACAAAAAATATCATCAAAACTACATGCAGCTATAACTAGTGTTATAATACCCTTATCTTCGCCAAGACCTTGTTGTTTTAAAGATAATAAAGATGGCAAAATAACTGCAGAACTTACTGGGCTTAAAACACATCTATATTAAAAAAAAAAAATTGTAATATAATATTTAACTGAAAAGCCACAAAAATTACTAAAAAAATGCTTTAATGTATTTTGGGGACAATCTTACCATCATCAGTGTTAAACAAATATACATATAATATAATATTTCATAAATTATATTGAGTTTTTTTTTATCTTTAATAGAAAAAATTATACTGAATAAAAAATTTTTACCCTAAAAGAAGACCCCACATCCATGGTAATCCTATGAGATAATATGTAACTACGGCTGTAGCTATAGTTTCTGTAATGCATGGTAATATGGCTAATTGAATTACGACTAAACTAAGTTTTTTAAGCATAGTACCATCTAAACTTAATCCTGATTCTACTAATAGTGTTGTAAGAGCAACTTCCCTAGAATTTTACATTTATGTAGAATTTGGGTTTATAAATTATACATTTTTGCTTACCTAAGAATAATTATGTATATTTGAAAATCATTTTTTATATCATAAAAACCTACGTTTCTTAATACAACACCAACTATCAACATTCCTAGCATTGGCGGTAAATAAAGTTGTTCAATTACTTTTCCTGCAGCCCATGAACTAGCAACTAGAAAACAAACTGATGCTAGTTGTGAGCCTGGTAACATGTTTTTCCCAAATATCAAATACATCATAGTCCATGCTATTACTATACAAATACAAGTAGTCAAGGTATTGAATGCAGATCTTACCTTATTACTATATTCAGTTTCACTAAAACATACATAATTTACAACTGTATATATTTTATTAATTATTTATATTAGTTAAATTCTAATAAATAAGTATTTTAAACAGCATTTGAACACATTCAAGGAAAAATTGAACTCAATCATAACCATGTACATTATTTTTTTTGTAAATAAACACTCATACTCATAAACATTCATATTAACGAAAAAAAACCAACCTGCCTAAAAAAGTCGTCCAAATTCAATAATAGTATACACAAGTGCTGTTCTCAGGGCTTTGTCTTAGGAGATGTACATAATACATTTTTTATTACCCCCTAAAATACATCTTTACCATATAATTATTTTCATCGTGTACTTTTAAAATTTCAGTTTTATGCACTTATTTTTTCTATTGCTTCATTATAGTTTTAATTGTAATTGACCAACGCATATACTTAAATAGTTCACTCAAGAAGAGTATGTTGAGATTGCATTACTTTGTTTATACAATTATTCTATTAGCTGTTATATATAAAAAAATTATATTTATCATTGATTTAATCACTTACCAAGACGATGGAGTAATATTTTCGACAATGGCGTAATCATTAACTACAGAAGAATAATTCTGGCATTCTTTTCCTTAAAATTAATAAATTTAATTTCAATGCGAAGTTAAGTAAGTATTCAAAACTGTGTTGTATTTTAAAAACAAAATAATAGAATCATTGAAAAATAATTAAAAGTCAAGCAGGATTCAAGTATCCAACAGGTTGTTTAGAACCTATAGGAGTAATGTTCAAAATAAAAAAATTAAATTACCTTCGTTCTTCAAAATGGAGTACACTTTTTAAAAAAATAAAATTTTTTGTTAAATAATTAAGATTATTATTTTTCAAACTTTTTAGTCATGTGAATACAATCGATTGATAATAATAAGAATTTTTCTTTGCTTTAGAAATGGTCTTTACTAGATGTTCCAGGTATTTTAGGACTCATACTCATATCACCTATACCATTTTTTTTATTTGGTAATCGGTTTGTATAATTATATTTATTACCCGAAAAACCTCTACTTTTTACGACCGTGAAAACTAGAGATTTAGTCTCTTAAGTTATACTTATGGTTACAAAAAGTGTCGGACAAGAAAATTCAATAACCTGAATACATTAATCAAACTCCCACATAATTTTTCTCTATTATATTGCACCATGGAAGCAAGAGGGTAGTATCTTGAAATAGCCGTAGTTTAAAGGTAATCAGTTTCAACCTTCTAAAAGAGTCACATTATGTGTTTTTTTTTTATCATTTATATTAAGTTTAAGTAAACTTTTAAACAAGTTTCTCGTATATTTATATATAGAATAATAAATAATTGAACTTATAGGATAAGATGGCAAATAAAATTAAATGACGAATTCAGTATTTCTCAAAATCAATCTTATATAACAACACATCAGCGGTATAATTAGGGTCTTGGTTTTTGGGGATTATATCAATTAGAAAATTGTTCACCTTCCCCTCCAAACAAAAATTCTCAATTGTCATCTTACTCTATAACTGGAGAAAGTGACAAAGATGACAATTTTTAGGAAAACTTATATTTTGTCTCTTAGAAAATAAAAGAGACGATTAAAATTATTTTGTAATATCATGCTAGATATTGAAGTAGTTCTCACGCAAATTTTAGATTTTAAACCAGTTCATAGAAATCAGGAAATATCGTATAAGTTTAACCTCTCTATTATACCCTGCCTTATACTATAAAAATTTCAAATATCATCGATATTTGACTATCTTTTAATTATAGTGCAATATAATTAACAAAACGGGGAGGTTGGTAAGAGCCTACACACGGCTCCCTACATAGCGATATTTCTATACAAGATTTTATTGCTAACCAATCTTACCATCTCCGAACAGATCTTATTTATCTATAAATAGTCTCAACTATAACTGCCTTATTTATGTCAACCCCGCTAAAGAACCTAAAACTGTTAACGCGGTCGCCGTGCACTTCCGGTTTTACCGCCGGATGGCGACTGCGACATAGCTGCCTCTCCTCGTCCGATAGGTCGCGCTATGGCGGTCGATCGCCGCTGTCGGCAACCGGTTCGGCGATGGAACTTCACTTCTTCACGGAAACCGGATTAATTTTTTCTGCGACATTCAACTATTTGTATTACCAACTCAAAATATATTGTAATCAATAATTAACCGCCGTGTTATTATTATTTAATCAAAAACATACCTTATACACTATCACGGTCCTTTTCAGGACCAACCCTCATAACGATTTCAATAAATATCGAAGGATTTTCAAACACTAAAAGCGACATCTTACAAGAGATGTACCAAGTCGTACAGAAACCAGCGACATAGATACTGAATCTGACGCAAAGTATTGAAAATGGTGACTGGGGCAACATTCATAGACCAACAGCGGCATATGATGCGATTAACCATAGAATTCTTTTCAAATAAATGTACGAGATAACAAGCGACTACAATTTTAATGTCCTTTAACAGCCAAATATGCTTACCACGTATGGGCCAGATCATGAAAAAGGTTGACATTACTTTGAACGAGACATGCAAGATAATCTCTGGATGCCTTAAACTAACGCTCGTTGAGGAAATACAAGTATTATGAGGAATAGCCCCACCAGACGTTAGAAGAGAGACTGCATCAGAGATAGAACGACACAAACAATAAAACGATCCCTGTCACCAACTCCATGGAAAGAATGCTCCGCAACAACGACTTAAATCCAGAAAAAGTTGGCTTATTACGATCCAACTAATAAAAACCACCAGATAAAGAAAGAATTAATAGATGAACACCTCGCAAATGATAACGCGGCAACAATTGTGGCTTTTTGAATTACCGAGATCTGAACGACACGAAAGAAGAAGAAATTAACAAAACACTGTCCATTGTGAAAACTAAATTTTCTCAATCCCTATGGTGACAACTTTTTTTTTATGATAACATATATAATTAATTAGTTTATAAGAAAAAAAATGATATAATAAAGATCTGACTGGTTCATAAGTTTTGGATAAGTAATTCGGATGTTAGCATTTTAAAATATAGGTTGAAGGTAAAGGTTGGGTACAACTTTTTTATCGTTAGGTATTTCTTGGCCACACTTTTTCTCCTTCCTACGAAAAAAGATGTAAAAACTTCTGATATACTGGTCCTAAACTTATGGACCAGTCATATCTTAATTAGATTATTTTTTATTTTATAATTATGTATGTTGTCTTAAAAATAAAGTTGACACCCTTGTAAAATAGAGAAGATGCACCAAAAAGTACTTAACAATTCTTAAATACTTTTTTCAATTCTTATTGAGTTACATATATTTCTTGATTTATTAATTATAATTGATAATTTCTCAAATTATTTTTATTTTGCAAATAATTGAGTGGATGATAAATGGATTATACTGCGTATTAAGAGTAGTTATCCCTCAATTGTGGTAACTTTGTATGTAAATTTTGTAGATAAATTAGAATAAAAATAAAATTATGACATAATATTAAAAATAATTATTTGTTAGTTTACAAGAATGCAAATATCTTATCTTTTATTAAATAACTGTCCTTGATAAAGGCGAGTATATTATGATAACGGAGTCCTTAGTACTAATGTATTAATTGATATTCTAAGTATTCTTACCTAAAATAGGTTTGTCCATTTTTTTGTTATTATCAAAACTCAAGAACTCTAAAAGCAATTATCTAAAAAACAAGCAATAAAATACTATTAGCACTAAAATACTAATAACATAAAACTTGTCATCTATTGAATTAAAATGAGAAATCCTGCTTTTTGGTAATTTTTATTGCAGAAAAAAATTAGCTTTCATATGGAAAACACTCTTGTGTGATACCTATGAAGAGTGATAAATATATTAAATATAATAATGGTTTATATATAAATTAGATTTAAGCATGTACTAAAAAAAAATTGAGTTTTATACATTAGATATTTATTTCCGTGAATAATAGTATAGGTGGTTTTTAACAGAAATTGAATTTATCTAAAAGCTTTTTATGCAAAGGGTCTTCTATGTGATCGTGAAATTTTAAAATAAGTCTTTCAAGATTTTATTAAGAATATTTTAAATATTATTCAAACACAACTATACATTTTTCTAAGAATTATTTTGTAAAATTCCTGGTCAAATATTTAGTCTTTTTGAAAATTATTTATTATTTCGCATCATTCGCTTTGGTTCAACAATTTATTTCAATAGTAATACTTCAATTAATGTTTTTATGTAAACGTAATGTACTTGTTATTCGTTGAATTACATTTAAATTTACTAATAAATTATTACATTTGTGTAATGTGGATTGGTAATCACATATTTGATCTTGATCATTAATTTTGTTAACTATTGTTACTACTATTGATAACTGTTGTTATCTCATACTTATTATTTTATTATCATAGTATCACAAAAGACAATTAGGAAATACATTTTTCAATCTCCTTAAAAAATAATTTTTTTTCTAATAATTATCCGTTAATTATATGTGTTTTTTTACTTCATTTGTAGATGTGTAGATAGAACAATTATGATGGATTGAATGGTGTATGAATACCCGTACGGTATAAACAATGGAAGCCACAGATGGGCATATTACTCAGGATAATGGGCCATCCAAATATAAAGAAGATGATAGTTTAGATCCCAGAATACAAGTAAAAATTTAATAATTTATGAGTTTTTTTTTTTTAGTAAGGTAATATTTAAAAATGTTGTAGTTGGAGTTAGAAAAGTTAAATAATGCAACAGACAATATAAATAAACTTGAAATAGAATTAGATGTAAGTAGTAATACATTTATTCAACTATTCAGATATTTTATCTGATATAAATATTTTAAAATGATTATCTATTATAGGAAGCAAATACAACTTTTAGAATGTTAATGGCAGAAGCATCTAGACGACTAAAAATCAGGGCTCGCAAACTTGGTTCATGTATTGATAAGGCACGTCCCTTTTATGATGCACTTAATGTATCAAAGCAAGCACAACAACAGTGTCAAATTGCTGCTGTTAAGTACCAAAGAGCTAATGGTAATATATATATATTTATACATAAGCAATAAGTACATATTTAAATACTAAATGATTTATATTTATTTTAAAAAATTAACTTCTTTAATAAGCTTATATTTTACTGTACTAATGAAACTAATTATACATGTGATCAAAGAATGAGATATTAACACTAAAATATTTTGTTATTATACTATTTTTATAAATTTATTTATTATTTTTTAATGATATTTAGTATCCTCTCTAAAAGTTATTGCTTGTACCAGTGGTACACGAAAACCTATATAACCCAGTGCATTACCTACTGAGCTAGAATCAAAAATTAATAATAACATTATTCAGGCCAAATTTATTATAATTATTAATTTTTATGATTTAAAATGTACAAAACCTTTACAAAATTTTAAATTTATAAATTACTACTATGCAACTATTGATTAAGGGTATGTTTATTTTTTTAGTTCTCTTACAAAATTAGGAAAATGTAAACATTTTGTATTATTATTAATGTAGCAAAATATTTTTACATACTTTAAAAATTTGATTTTTAAAAAATGGTAATATTCTGAAATAAATTTTATAAAATTCATTTTATCTTATTTAAACTTAATTCTATCACTTAAAAACTTCTTTAATTTTTCACAGAGGAAATCACTAACTTTAATATTAGTTTTTTTTTAAGGTATAATAATATAATTTACTGTTGAACTATTGTTATATATTTTATATTGTATAAGAGTTACAAAATTTTAGTAACAAGACATGATTTAAAATTAATATAGTCAGCAATAGTTATTTTAAAATATTGTATGCTTACCAGTATCTATGGCAGGTTCACACTATAAATCCAATTGATTTTTGTCAGCAAGAGCCATTACATTTACCACTATAATAGATACATACATACTTTATAAAAACACTATTATCTTATTTAAGCACTAGATGAGTGTTTTTATTTAATCTTATCAAAATATACTTACAGTTTACTAATATTTAAGCATTATTGAGAAAGTTTTCATTGTAGTGGAATGAAATGTTTATATTTTATACTAAAACACAAATTTTAACATTAATTATAATAGTTTTTCATCATTAAGACATATTATTGAGCATTTTTGTTTTCATATACATGTACATTTTTATTATTTAAGTAAGCTTTATGCAAGAAAATTTGTGTTTTATAAAAGGGAAAAATATACATATGGAATTATGAAATGTTTTTGTTACTGTTGGTATCTATGTGAATTAAAAAAAAATTGTTTAAACTATTTAAAAAGTTACAGAGGTATATAGAATGTCACAGCCTGTTTTAATAAATCCTATAACTTTTGATCCACTCAATATTTTATGTTACTTTCTTTTTTTTTAATCTTCTTAAAGTATAGACTATAATAATATCATGTATATATATATTTTTTAATTACTAGAAATGATTAAAATAAAATTTAAATAGTCTTTTGATAAAATGAATTATTAGAAAAAAAGTTGGTTGAAAAATCTCTTAAAATTTATAGTTGAATTTCTGAAACATTTTAAAGTTTGTAAATTTTGTTGATTTGTGTTTATACTATAATATCAAATGTAACACAATCTTCACATGTTAAATACTAGTTTTATTTCTACAATTTTTTTCCATAAAATGTATCGTCGTTTCAATAAATACTTAAACTGAAGTGAAAAATATAGTAATATTACTATCGTCCCATCATTTATTTCATTAATTATCATAAATCTTATTTGTTATCTTTGTGTGACTATGTAGAAAAATTGTTCCATTTTTTAAAAATAAAATTGCAAACAACTCATCATAAAACAATATCAGTTGGTAGGATAGACACAATGTTTACATAATACATTATAAATTAGGTTCTATTTATTTGATACTCACAACAGAATGTTGAAATGAACAAACATCTATAGTGACTATAGATGTTTGTTATCTATTCTTCAATACTGTTATGTTTTACTTTATGTTATAATTCTTATAAACTTTATAATATCGATTGCTAACCTGTTATTTAAAACTGTTTTCTCAATATACCAAATTTTGTAGTATTGAAAAAATAGTAGATTGATGCATCTTTTTACTATATGAATAGCAGTCTAAAGATTATTTCAGTGTTTTATTTTGTGTATCAACATATAATAAAACTTTAGTTATTTTATCTTAATACTTCATGGAAACTAAGAGTATTAAATATTATATTTTAATTATGTTATGTTATGTCAATCCATGAATATTGATAAAGAATAATTTTTTAGAAATTCATCAAGCAGCAAAAGAAACGGTAGCTTTGGCAGAAGCACGGTTTTTAAGTAAACAACATGAATGGAAGTTTGATAGTGCCTGGCAAGAAATGTTAAATAATGCTATTTTAAAAGTAAATAAAATATTTGTTAATACTTTGAATTGGATATTATAAAAAAATTTTTAGGTAACTGAAGCAGAAAATCAAAAGACTGAAAGTGGACGTGAACATCAAAGAAAGGCTGCTCTTTATCAAGCAGCAGAACAAAAAGTAAGTATGAATTTTATGCTTGATTTTTACTCATGATATCTAGTAATAATATACAAATATTTTTTTAAATTTTTTAGGTTCAAATACTTGAACAAAAAGTTAAGCGAAGTATCATCAAATCTCGACCTTATTTTGAAGAAAAATATCTTTGTGAAGGCCAACTTGCTGCTCAAAAAGATACCATTATTCAAATTCGATATGCTGTACAGCAAGCAAAACAAGAATATTCTGCTTGTCTTCATAGGTTGGAACAGATTTCTGAAGAAATTCATATTCAGAGACAAAATAATAAAATAATGGTAAATATATTTGGTGCATTGATAAAATTATTGTTGATTAATATTTTTAATTTAATTCAATTTTACCTTATATATATTTAGATAAATTTTAAGTTAATATATTTTTTATGTAACTAAAGGAACAAGGACCTAGAGAACCTGGTGTTGGTGCTGAGGTTTCATCAATAGCTAATAGTTGGCAAGAAATAAATATCAAAAAAGAATCAGATTGTATGGAGGATATTAATTTAGAATGGAATTTAGACAAATGTGATTCTAGAAGTCTGGGAAGTCTATCAATAGATACATGTTCAATTCTAAGTGATGCAGATGAGCTTGATTTTGATGAAGATAGTGAAGTCACTATGGTACATATTTCAGTAATTATTTTTACATGAAACAAAATATTATAATTTTTTTATTTATTTTATCAGGAGTTAGAGCAGTTAAGACAAAAAGTAAGAGATCTTGCAACAAAACCATTAATGGTAGAAAATAAAAGAAGTGAAGATGTTGAAGGTGTAGAAGATCGTAAAGGTTGGGAAAGTGAATTGAATGCTACTGTTGATAAACTTGATAGAATGATGTTAAAACAAGAATGTGAAAAATCTCATCAGCAGTCACCTGTTTAAAAATAGTTGGTAAAAATCAAATAAAATTGGAGACTTTTATGTGTTCAAGCTATAAAAAAAAGTGAAATCTGAAGCTATATAGTTTGATGAAAATTGTTTAAAATGGTCAACTTCAACTTATTATCAATAGAAGTGACATGTTCCATTAAATTATAGTTATAATATTATTAACAATTTACAATACATACATACTGTATCCCACCAGTTTTTATTTCCATATAGAAAATGTAACTTGGTAGTTTAGTATTTTATCTTAATATTTTTTATATTTAATAAAACCAAATTGTTTTGTTTCCTTAAATATATTTATTAAATATATTATTTTATGTAAATTAGTAGAATTGGCTGTTTAAATTCAAAATTATTTATACTTCTAGAAAAGCAATACTAAACTCTTTTTTACGTAATATTAATTTAGTTAATTAATTATTAAATTTTTTAAATAATGTGATTATTATTTTGTTGTAGCACAGTCAATTAAGATTTATTTTACAATCTCAAAATACTTGATTGCAATTTAATAGCAATATGTCTATCTATACTATGAATCAATTTGATATCTTTATTTTATTTTATATTTTATGTTTTGTAAAAAAAAATGTAGTTTTAATTTTTTTCAACTAATTTTAACATTGTTAATATTAAAATTCATAAATATTTATTACAATTTATAGAAGAATAATATAATAATAAAATTATAAATTATAAAAACATTAAAACAAAAATAATATACAAAATGTTCTGTTTCTATAATTTGTACACAATTTGAATCTCAATTATAAATTCTGTGTATTTTCCTTAAATCTGATTTAAAACAATATGATTTGTCATATTTTATTTTCAGATTACACAATTGTAATATTAATGCACATCATTGATGGCACCGGTGGCTACTGTACATAATACATATTATAACATCTCACTATGATTTTATAATTTTCAAGGAAAAATGTGTTAAAAAAAATTGTAATTAGATGGAAAGTTTTGATTGACCTTTAAACATTTTAATGTTAAGTGAAATTTAAGATTTTGTCCTTCCTTAAAATTTAATCATGAATTTGTGTTTATGGTACATAATTAAACTAATTTAATTGAGCTGGCCAATAGCAAAGAAAATGTACATCTTATATTATTCTTCTAAATTTTGATTGCTCAATTTATAAGTGATAGTCGAAATAAATTTAAATTAGAGAAATTTTTTAGTCTTACTTTTCTTTTGATATTAAACGACTTATTTCAAAAAATGTACTTTGATAAATTAAGTTCTTATTTTAGCTTAAATAAAATATATAAAACTCTAACATCATACAATGCAAACTGTTATAACTGTGTCTTATACTTATTGGTGTTTATTTCTAGATAATGTATAATTATTGTAAAGCACAATATTTAATATTTTTATTACAAGGATATTTGATGATTTTTCTGTTTTAGTGTGAGGATAGCGCCTTTTCTAATGTCTGTATTAAACGTTTCATTAAATGTCTAATCCTTGTTTTCTTATTGACGTCATCTTATTGTGGTACGATGCATTATTTAAATCTTCTATGAAGTGTACGGGTGACATTGTCCTTCTACATAATTTAGTTGATACCGGGAATGTTTGTTTATTGGATATGTAAGAAACTTCTATTAAATGAAAAAAAATAGTTATACATTTTTATAAAAATGAAATTTTAATTCTTAATTTTATAAAACAATTATAGTATTGTAATTTATCTTTAAATTAATGCATAGTAGAAAACGGACAAATCTTAAAATTACAATAACATTATTTTTGAAAGTTGCTATCTGGGTTCCTTTTTAGCATCGTATTGAAGCTAAAACATCTTTTGTAAAAATTGGACACAAATCCAACCAATACAATATCATATTAATGCAACATTTTTATTTTGTACGTTGCACATTGTTCAATTAACATATTATATTTTATGCAATAAACTAATTTTAATACATTTTTTAATTGAAAATTTATTTAAACAGATTATATTAATCGAAATAGACTTGATTTTATAGAATTTGTACCATAAGTATTCATTTGATCAGGCATTTCATAGCAATCACTTTGGCTAAGTGTTCGATGACAAGAAGACGTCTTGGAAATTGATGGTGCCGTTGTTTGGATTACATTGAATGTAGCGTATGGGCTTACTTCGTATTCGATTGTTTTTTCATCAGATTTATTTAATGAAGATCCTCTATTTCTCATCGTAAAAGATGTAAATTCAATTTGCTTTTCTAACTCAACACTCGATTCTCTTTCTATCGGACTACCTCTCAAATATTGCGATTCTTTTTTCCTATTGTAAATACATATATGATTTACTACAAAATAACTTATCATTTAGTTTTATAATCTATGTACAGAACTTATACATATTTAATATTAGGATCAGTTTATTATTTTTTAAAATAATTTGAGTTCAACCAAAAGAGTATTCAATAAATTAATTTTTTTCTTTAAATAGTTAATGTCAATTGCTATAATTTCAATTTTAAGAAAAATTTATGATTTAGAAGGTGCAAAACCAAGGTAGACCAAGGGTGAATTTACGGAGGGAGTAAAACAGGGTAATATATGACAATTTTAAATATAATAAATTAAACAAAGACACTAATTTCCTGAAGATTGTCACTATCAAATACATATTTTGAGCACCCCTGGAGTTAATGTTATTGCCAAAAATGTTCTACATTGTAATTATACAGTTAAATTTAATATTAATAAATGGAGGAGATGTTTTCTTTTACATTGCCCAAAATAAAAATTATTTTTGAAACTATTGGTTACTTTTACGCACAGAAACATATTTTTGGTAGAATGATAATTTTTTATTACTTATACTTATATTTAAATGTATATATAATGTATTATTAATAAGTACACTATCTTTTTAGTAATATATATTATACTCTTCCAAAAATGTTCAAATTTTCACATATACTTATTGTAGGTTTAATTTACACATAGTATGTAAGAAAAATGTTTGATAAATAGTAATAAAATTGACATTTGAGTACGAATTTAATACTTAATATCAAAATTACACTACTTGTGTGTAAAATTAAAAATATACTGACATATGAAAATTTTTGGATCTTTTCTTACAAAGTAGGCTTTAAAATTTTATAGTCGAAAATGTTTTATTTATCAATTTAATATAATTGGTAATTTCATTTATTAAAAGTGGCCGTGAAAACATTTTTTTTGTTTCCACTTAACATTATCTATTGATGCTTAGAAAAATTTGTTAGATTTATCTATTAAGCAGTTAAAAGTTAAGTAGTGTGTTACGAAAATATTTTTTTTAGCTAAGAACTGAAAATATGTTGATTTTTGTTTTTGTAGTGTAATATTATTAAAACAATAATAATTATAAAAAAAATTAATTTTTAAATTTTATAAAAAGTGTGGCTTAGAATAATAGTATAAATTTTTTTCTAAATAAAATTATTAGTTGATGCTGGTATTTTATATATTAGTTGTATCTTTAGTGGTATGAAAATACCACTAAATTATGGTATCATAATTTCAGATTGAATTATTGACATAATTTATTAATGATAATATTATCTAATCTTAAACAAATAATCTAAGTGTTCGTGCACATAAATTTAGGTTCCTGATTATATTATGTCTATTTGATTAAATATAATAGTTTAATTGTATATGATCTTTTTAATTAAACTTGCTAAGTTCAATGTCATTGTTGGCAGTACACAATTACCCAATTAATTGTACACAACAGATAATGTATTATTTTTTTGTTCGAATACCATTATCAAACAAAAACAAGGGCTAACTTTATTCCTTGTTTTTTTGCTTAATCAATTGAGCAAGTGAACTATATACATTAATTTTGTTTAAATTAATTAAAAAATTTACCTTCGTTTGATAACCACGCAAATGCATACACAAAACGATACTAAACATATAAGAGCAGATGCTACAGGTACATACTTGTGTAACTGAGCAATACTTTGAATAATGTCATATTTATTGTTTGATTGAATTTGAACTATATCTAAATCATATAACATATTTTAATTTTTTTATTATATTCTCAATAATACCTAAAAAGTTATTTGTATGTTAAATAAAAACAAATTTTTTGTAATAACAAGTTAAGATAATAATTTTGTATTGCAAATTTTTATTGTACTGCTTAGTTTTTTTGTTTCATTTTATAATATAAAATTAAATATGTTGTAAGATTAAGGTTACGTGTTATTTAGAACTATATTTGTTCTTAATTTATAAAATGTATTATAAAATTGCATTGTGTATACAAAATTAATTCTTAAATGCATAGGTAACCGTATTTTTTTGGTAGACCGAGAAACTTATTAAAATAAAAATGTTTAGATTTGACGCGAAATATAGATAGCCTTTTCAAAGCAGAAATTGAATTAGGGAGCACAAGAAGAACTGTTTTACTCTGCAAGCTGAATAAATTCGATATTCTTATACTAAGATCAGACTTGGATATAAGGGGCTATATGAGTAATGGCCTCACCTAATTTAGAATTATTTATTAAAAAAAGTTCTCTTTTTTGAAAAAAAGCTCCACTTGAACAGAAATACTAAAATTTCTTCCAGTTCCTTGACTGACAGATATAATTCGTTTTTTTTCTTTAAAAAAACATATACACAGAAATTTTAATTGATTAACTTAAAAAAAATTTAGTTTTTACGATTCTTGTACTTTTTTAAGCAAAAAATTATTGTGACCTTTAATGCAAGCAGCGACTGAAGCCATTTGATTTATTTGTTTGCAGTTTGGGCTTTAATTTTGATTTCTGTTAAAAAAATTAGATAAAAACGGTTTTAATCGGATTTCAGAAAACTAATTTCAATTTACAGTGAATCCGATTTAAAGGCATCGATTTAAAGTGAAATATTCATGATATTTGAGTAAACAACAGTGTTGTTTAAATAATTTTATACAAAACAATATTTTTGTCAATTTATTTTACATTTTTAAGACATCTATAATAGATCTAATTTCTAATATCACCTCCAGATAATGTTCTAGTTGCTAAAGTGTGTTCCCATGTTCTGTCCCCAGCTTCTGTATGAACAATCATTCGTACTGTATAAACTGTAGCTGGTTTTAAGTGGCTTATAGTGAAGGTATCGCTGGTTAATTTTTGTTTTGACATTTTGATCCAAATACCAGCATTTTCTTCATTAATTAATGTATAATGACATGTAAATGAATGAATAGAACACAGATTAATGGGCCATGTACTAAATGTGAATGTCAAACTAGTCGAATTAATTGCAAGAACAGTATCTTTGTCTGGTATATCAGGAACTGTTAAAAATTAATTAATTTTTTCTTCATGAGTATATGGTTTTTTGTACAGTTATTAATATTATAATAACTGTAATATTATCCACAATATTATTTAATTACACAATAACTGTTATTTTATAGTTTTAACCCATTAGCCTTCAAGGTTAGAAAAAAACTAATTTTATATTTTCGCTGTAATTTATTACTTTAGTATATATTCATATAACAATTTATTAAGTAAAAAAAAAATATATTTTTTTAGTTTTTGTTTTACAATAAAGTGTTGTGTATACGCAACGGTTAGGATGAACTATGTATATTATTTTGTGTGAAATTGTTAAAAAGTAATTTAGTTGAATAATACAATTAAGAAAAAATAACTTAAAAATTGTTTCATTGGTGCAACGTGGACTAATGGGTTAATAAATAAAACTATAGATAGTATTAATTTTTTAGAGTTCAGGGATACATTTACGTTAAAAATTGTAATTAAACTATTTAAAATTGTGTAATTTAAAATGAGAAAATTCAATTTTTATTACGCATTTAATTACCTCCACCTTTAGTTAACACTTCTTTTACTTGGCTAAATCTACTGATGCCTACTGTATTTACAGTTTGCATCGATACGCTGTATTTCGATCCACATTTCAGTCTTCTGATATAGTATGTTAAATTATCCGAGTCAATGTCCACTTTTTCAGGTGGGTTATCATTTAACTTATAATTCAGTGTATATGCGGTAGTAACAATGTCAAATTGTTTTATCGGTCTCCATTGTACTAATATGACTTCTGTTGAAATAGACTCAACGTAAAATTCAGGAGGCTCCGGCGGGTAAAGAACGTGGACCATATAAGATACTTGATCCCTTCCGAAAATATTTTCTACATGACAAGTATAGTTACCTTCATAAGAACTGTCATTTATAGGTCCGATCATTAGACTACCGTCTGTTAAAACTCTATGTAGCAAATAGACATGTTATTATTTGTTTCCAAATAAAAATAAAAAACCTACTCGACTTCAGTGCCTTCGGGCTGTTTCCATTTGACAATTGGAGTTGGCATTCCTACTGTATAACATTCAATTAAGCATTTTGTTCCTACCACAACGTTTATGTGATCACCAAAAGATGCTACTCTAGCTGGAGCTATTATTTTATAAATGTACTTTTAGTATTATAATATTTATCATTTAAGTTATTTATGATACCTCTTGAATTTGGACTTTGAATTACACGGAAGCTTGGTTGCCCTTCACCAGCTGTAGTGGATGCAGTAACCCAAAATTCATACCGTTGAAACTCTTTAAGATGTCGAACTTCAATTTTAGTATTTTTTTCACCAAAAACAATCTCTTTTTCAATTACCTGTTATTAAAAACTTAAATAGAGACTAACAAAATTAATTGTGTTATTATTATACTCTAATATTTAAATTATACTATTATTAAAATATATACTCGTAGGTGTTTCACATTTCTCTGTGTTCATTCAATTTCCCCTTCTAAAAAATGTTTTCACATAATAAAATATTATTTAAACTAAAAAATATTAAAAACATTTGATTAAAAATGTCATAAAAAATATTTAACATTTCGTATACGTATTTCGAGAACAATGTTACCATCAATAGCTTTAAACACATACGGGATTTTTTTTTTAGTATTTTTTGTGGCTTTTTGAGTTAGATATTTTTTAGTTTTAAACATTTTTTTACATGTTTTTTTAGCTTTTTATTTTTTATTAAAAATAGAAAAATTAATATACAATTTAAAATAAATCGACAATATAATTTTTACTTATTCACTGTGATTCTTTTGTTTTTAGTTTTCTTATTGTTGAAGTTACTTTCAAATATATATTACAAAATGACTAAAATTAATAATTACTCCTTATTCATATTATATTGTTAGTTTAGTATTTGGTTATTACTAATAATAACTTTAATTTGAGTTTTTAATTTAATTTTAGTTTTTTACTTTGTTGTGTTTAACGTGGACGACGTATTTAATGATGATGCCATTCGATTTTATTGGTGGAGTCCAAGAAACCAGTACACTATTAGATGTTACTGTAAGAGCTTTAACATTTTCTGGAGACCCCGGAGCTACAATATTTTCAAAATTATAATTTTTTGAATCTGGTTATAATGACAAGATACTTACCATCTTGTTCAGTAACACAGTAAATAGTGTTCGATTGAACGCCATCTCCTACTTTAGTATATGCCAAAACTTTTATACTGTAATTTGTATACTTTTCTAGTCCATGTAAATTTGTTTCTAAGTTCGTGGTTCTTTTCATTTCATTTGCAACGTAAGTTCCTGTAATGATTTTGTAATAAAAGTTATCATTTTTTTCGAATAATAATTTAATATATAGTTGTATTACCTAATATTTGGTTTATTTTTTTATACTGAATTTTATAACCCAAAATAATACCGTGATGAGAAACCATTGGTGGTGGGTTCCAGCTCATCCTTAATGATTCTGTAGTTAGTGGTAAACATTTTACATTTTGTGGAGGTTCACTTGGAACTTAATATACAAAAAGAAAAAAAAATTGCTATTAAATTGACTAATTTTGCAATGACCCTATACCATGAATTGGGTCTTATATTATTATTTAGCAACAAACTTCAAGCAATTAAAATATATGGTAAAAATGATATTAAAAATAAATAAATTTTATTATTTAAATATATTAGCTTCTTAGCTCTCACTCAACCGATCATTTTCAACGATGTGTCAAAAGATTACAAATCATATCTAGTCGTTGAAGATATTAATTTCAAAAATTGAAAAAATTTCCCTCGTTCACCGTAAATGGGGGAAATCTCCTATAAAATTACAAATTTAAAAATCGCTAATTTTCTACATTTTTTCATTTTTTTTTTACTTTAAGTGCCATGACTTTTTGAAAAATGTATATACACCAATACAATTTTTTTTATGGATACATGAGGTATTTACCTATCATTTTGTATATTTTTTATAAATCTTTACCTGCCCACAGGAGAAATTCAAAATGTTAACTTTTTCAACTTAACTTTTGAAAGTGTTTCGGAAATACTAACACTTTTATATATATCTTAAATTAAAGCTTATGTAATATACTTTAATTTAAAAAAAAAAAAATTTCGAATATTATATTGTCTTTGTGGTAAAAATGACTCCCGTATTAAAAAAATATGCTATTTTTGTTATAATTCTCGGTTTTATATTCTTTTTATATTTAAATACTCATTTTTTAATAATTAGTAATAATATTAAAACTTAGAAGTAATAAAAAAAGTCTAATTTCACATTAAAAACAGTACGAAAAGATGAATTAGAACTCATTTAATATTTTCTCATTTAGATTCAATGAATATCAAGGGACCCTTTACTGTAATCTTCCTTTGTCTGAAGAAATTTTTTATTCATACTAAAATTATTTAACTATGTGTTTTCTCCATACAGACAATCAAAATTATTCATTTTTAATATTTTTATAGTATTTATTGTCGAATTTGGTTTGAATGATAATAGGTATTAACTACAAAGTTAAATAATTTTACTTTGTAATTTATTAATTTTAGCTTCGATGCGAAGCTGAGAAGGTATTGGTTTTACTAAGATGTGTTTATTTATTTATTTTTTTTTTTGTGTCTGTTACCACTTTTTCTCAGCTCTCACCGAACCGATTTCTTTCAATGATACGTCAAAAGATCACAAATCGTATCTAGTCGAAGACATTACCCTCAAAAATTAAAAAAAATTCCCTCGTTCCCCGTAAATGGGGGAAACCTCCAAAACAATTACAAATTTAAAAATCGCTAATTTTTGAAATTTTTTAAATTTTNAAATTTAAAAATCGCTAATTTTCGAAATTTTTTCAATTTTTTTTACTTAAAGTGCCATAACTTTTTCAAAAATGAACATATCAATATAATTCTTTTTTATATAGATGAATAATATCATTATCTTTCATGTGGTATATTTTTTTCATAAATTTAACCCTTAACCTGCCCACAAGGGGATTTATAATGTCAAGTTTTTCACAAAAAATTAACTTTTTCAACTTAACTTTTGAAAATGTTCCGGAAGGTCTGACACTTTTATATATATCTTAAATTAAAGCTAATGTAATGTTCTTTATTATGCAAAAAAAAAAATTTCGGACTTTATTTTATCTTCATGGTGAAAACAGACATCAAAGTTTATAAAAAAAATGCGATTTTTGTAAAAAAATTCTTTTTTATATTTTTAACTTTAGAATGCTATAACATTTTAAAAAATGTATGAATCAATATAATTTTTTTTTTATAGATGCATGATGTCTTTACCTATCAGTTGGTATATTTTTTTTATAAATCTGACTTTTTACCTGCCTACAAGGGGGGATTCAAAATGACAACTTTTTCACAAAAAATTTACTTTTTCGACTTAATTTTTTAAAGTGTTCCGGAAAGTCTGACACTTTGATATATATCTTAAATTAAAGCTAATGTAATGTACTTTATTATGCAAAAAAAAATTTCGGACTTTATTTTGTTTTCACGGTGAAAATGGCTACCGAATGCTATTATTGTGTGAAAATTCTCGATTTTATTTTTTACATTTTTAACTTTATAATGCTATAACTTATTGAAAAGTGTATTGATCAATATCATTTTTTTATGGAAATACTATATTTTAATAATCCCTTTTTCATTCGACATACTTTATCTTAATTAGGATATTAATAACGAACTAGAAGATCATGTTGCTTTTGGTATAATCCACCATTTTTTTAAAATTAAACACTATCTAAAGATTTGCATCGAAGCGTTTTTTTTTTATAGTGATTTTAATCACTGTCAGATATCATAATACTTGATCCAACTATGCCACGTCACCACTGTTGCGCGATCCCCCTGTGCTGGGTTTTTTAATTCTATTTATGTGTGTTACTATAAGTCTACAATATTACAAATTTTTTGATAACATGTTGCTATGTAAATCAAAATCTAAAAAAAATTAATTTTAGTTTCACCTGAATTTAACAAAANTGGGTTTTTTAATTCTATTTATGTGTGTTACTATAAGTCTACAATATTACAAATTTTTTGATAACATGTTGCTATGTAAATCATAAATCTAAAAAAAATTAATTTTAGTTTCACCTGAATTTAACAAATAAAAATGTACAATTTAATAAAATTTTATAATACGCTCAATTGAGTTGATTTTTAAAACTTTGAGTGATTGTTTTAGTTAAATTAAATCATTAAAATTAATTATTTTTTGAATATTTAAATTGTAGAATCTTTTTAAACATCAAAAGTTACTTAAAAATGATTACTATGATTTCTATTTTCATCTATTACAATACAAATACAACAAAAATATTGAGCTTTTCTGATAAATTTATAGTAATTAGTAATTATACAATTTCTTGACTGCATATTAATCTTAACAATACTATATTTTTAATTATCATAACATTTTTATTTAATAAAGTAAATTTCAAACTTATGTTGCTTTTGGAATAATCCAACAATTTTTTAAAATTAAACACTATAAACAGATTTGCATCGAAGCGTTTTTTATGATAGTGATTTTAATTAATGTCAGATTAAATCTATACTTGTCCCAACTAATCTAGGTCCCCACTGTACTACCGTTTTTTTTGGTTAATATGTTATTTTAAATTTTAATAATTAATCCGTATAAATAAACTTATTTTAATGTAATATATATTGAAAAACAATACCTCCTTCTTTAGTAACAACACGTATAAAATCTGAATCTGGACCAAATCCTAGTTCATTAAATGATCTTACTGTAATTTGGTATGTTGTAAATGGGCTCAGATTAGTAATGTTAAAATAGCATCTGCTTACGCCAAATATTGTCTTAATGTTTATGACTGATAACTCGTTAGTGTCAATATATGCTAGTTTATAGCCCAAAATTTGACCATTCCAAGTATTTTTTTCAGGGGGCTATAAATTAAAAATCATCTCAAATTCGGTAAAAATATGCAAGTGCATATATTATTATTATTAACGTTTATGTATTATTATTTTGTTTCTAAATAAAAATATTTTAAATTGATGAAAATTAAATTGTTGGTATAATAAGTCATATACGAACATTCCATTTTACTGCAACTAGATTTGATTCAATGTTAATGGCTTCTAAATTATCTGGGGGTGCGCTAGGCTCTATAAAATGTACATAAGTATATAACTCAAATAACTCATATAATTTAAGATTTTTCCTTACTGTCTCCTAAAGTAGTTACGGTGACATTTTGACTAGGATTGCTACAACCGAAATCATTAACTGATACAACTTGCACAATATAAATTGTAGCCGGTTTTAAATAGGAAACTTTTGTATGAGTTAAACTCCCATTAATAGTATAATTTGACCAATTAATGCATAAATTATGACATAGCTGAAGAATGTAATGGGTTATGAATATTTCTACTGGTTCCCAACTAAATTCTAGCCATCTCGTACCTGCCTCTACGACCTTTAACTGTTTTGGAGCTACAGGTGGCTCTGTAAATTATTTTTATATTTTAGAAATAATCTTAATATTACAGAAATATAAAAATCTAACCTTTAACAACCAAATTAATTGTCATACGGTCGTAACCATAAGAATTAGATGCCATACATATGTAAACACCCGTTTGATTTCTATTTAAGGACTCAAGAAGCATTTCTGATATTACACCATCTTTGGTGTCTTTAGTTTTGATGTTATTTACAAAAGGTTTCCACTGAATGCTTAGTGGCTTTGAACCTTCCGCTTTACATGTTAATAACACTTTACTTCCACCTACACCGTTTTTGTTTATTATTTTTTCTTTAAATTGAGCAGGAACTAAATTAAAAAATAGATAAATATTATTTCAACATTATAAAAGTTAATATAATAACATACTATGAACTTTTAATGATACAGTTTTTGAAATTAGTTTTCCAATTCCGTTTTCAGCCGAGCATGTATAGTTATCTTCATATTGACGTGTTGTTAATTGTATAGTTAAAGAACCATTTCCTAATACTGTTAGATCATAGTCTGAGAATATATTAAATGATTGTAATAAATGATTATCTAAAAAATATTGTAGTTATTTAAATATAAGTAAATAAAAGATTTATAAATATATTCTTCACTAGAAGCTTTAGTCCATATTATTTTTGGTTGTGGATATCCTTCAGCTTGGCAATTAATGACGGTTGGTTGATTAACAAGTACTGACGTATCTTCGGGCTCAACAATCCATCTTGGTGGAGCTATGTAAAATAGGAAAATATTAAAATCATAGACATTATAATATGTTTTTTATTTAGAACCTTTGATATTTAAAAGAGCGGAGTAATTGCTACTGGCAACAAAGTTGCTGACAATACACGTATAAAGTCCCGCATGATGTGGTTTTAAATTACTAAAGAAAATAGTGCTAGAAAATTTGAAATTTTGTAACTCAATTTCGTTATCAGTTGTAAGTATTCTATTGTCTTTTCGCCAAACAAACTCCATCGGCAAATCTCCTGATTTTATAGTACACGAAACCTGGGCTCTTTCACTTTGTTGTAAATCTTTAGTAAATTGAAATGGTGTTACTACGGGTGGTTCTATTAAATGTGTGTTTAATATTAAAGATACAGACGTTAATTTACTAGTTTTATTTTACAATTAGTTTACTCATTATTTTTAAATAGAGATTTCCTGTAGCAAACTGCCCTTTATCATTAATTTTTGTGCATACGTAAAGTCCCGAATCAGAAATATCTTGAGTTGAACGTATGAAAAGTGTACCATTGTCAAAAAGTTGATGTCTAGAATGGTTTGAAATAGATACCATGTCTTTTTTCCAAACAGTTCTCGCAATTGGGTAACCAGCAACAGGACATTGAAGATATGCATCGTCATCTGATCGTACAGTTAAATTTAACGGTGGTCTGGCTACAGGATCGCCTATTATACACACATTTAAATTTTTCATTGAGACAAATTTAAAATTCACTAATTAATTTGGTTTACCGTAAATTTTTACCATAGCTGAATACAACCTAAATCCTAATATATTACGTGCTAAACATGAGTAGTAACCTCCATGTAAAACATCTGCAACTGAAACGTTTAAGTAACTAACAATATTTCCTATAAAATAAATATGATTAATTAATAGAATGATAAAATTAGTTGAATAATTATGTTTAATGTATAACATACCATCTATATGCATGTAACTTCCAAAAACATAATCTCCTTGAGGTAATAAAAGTCCCCCGTCAAGATACCAATAAATTCTTGGGGGTGGATTACCTGAAGCTATACATCTAAGTGAAAGAAACCCATTATTTTGGATTATTTGTTCAGGGAAAACGTTGAATAACTCAGGAGATACAGCTAAAAAAAAAAATGCATTATTCTTTAAATGTTAATGTGTTATATAAACTTACCTCCAAGTAATAAAAGAGCACTGGCCTGTGCAGTGTCATCAGTATCTGGATTCCTTATTAAACATTGGTATATTCCATCATCATTCTTCATTACATTTTGAATGATTAATTGATTTCCTTCTTGAGATATTTCATATCGTTCAAATCCTATTATAGGAGCTCCATTCTTTAACCATGAATATAAAGGTTTTAAAAATGTTCCTTGAGCAGAACAATTAAAAATAGCAGTTGATCCTGAATCAATTACCTAATAAATTATATGAAAAAATTTCTACATTTATTATTTTTGATATTCTTATATAACCTACATACTTGTTTTAAAGGATGTATGCTGACAGCAAATGGAGTATCAGCTGCTATAATTATTTCTCTTTGATCTTGTCCAATTTTGTTAGATACTTCGCATTTATAAATAATTCTAGAACCAGTTATAGGAATGCTCGTAATTCGTAGTAATGATTGATATGGATGTACTGATAAAGATTCTATAGATACTTCTTGAGTGCTACCATGATCTACTTTGAACCATCTAATTAAAAATTGTATTTGAAAGAAAAATAACTTTTTTGATGTAAAAAAGAAAAGAATTGTAAAGCAACTAACTTATAAGATGGAGGTGGATAACCCTCAGCCAAACATAGTATATCAATAGGTTGGTTTGTCTTAACGTTCAAGTGATTCGTGTGATATTTAATAGTAGGACGTATTTCTTCGATAGATTGTTTAACAATTATTTTAGCAAATTGACTGGTTAATTGATCACCAGTGTACTTATTTTTAACTTGACAAAAATATCGGTCTAACCTATCTTCAAGTACTACATTATGTACGAGTAAAGTTCCATCCAAAGCTATTACATAACGTCCACCCAAATATATTGGAATCGCTTGTTCAATTCCTGATTTAGAATCGTCTGTTTTAAACCAGGTTTTTACTACATGTTCACTAATTAATTCAGGCGATTGGCATTTAAACATTGCTACATTTCCTTGAAATACAACCGCATTTTCCACTACTAATCCTAGTGTTTTCACTATCACTAAAAAAATCAATGATTATAATAAATTATTTTAAATTGTATAACTAGTTTTTAATATAATTTGAATGGAAAATTTGAAATCATAGAAAATAAATAATTAAGTAAATGAAGTCATATAATATTTTTAATTAACAGAAGGTAATTTAATTCGTGTTATTAAAATTATTTTGACGGATGTGAATATACTCAAAATAATCGTAAATATGGCTATTGCTCTAAAGATAAATTTGAAGTTTAAACATTAATTTAAAAAAAAGGTCATGGATAAAACTGAATATATGAAATAATAATTCGTAATAATTCATTTTCATTATTTTATTTAAAATTGCCTAAGTAAAAACTGCATTTTAGTAAAATTATCTTACTAAGTAAAATATATGATTTTTGATTTAATTAAGCCTTTTACTAGCAAGTATTTTGTAATAAATATTATCAAGAATAAATAAATTGCAATAACTTTAAACAGTTTAACCATATGTCATTTTAATGTTTTAAACATTATAGGATACATTATTATGTTATTAATATATGTTATTAGCCTTTAATGATAATTTTTTTACCTTAGTGTTATATGTAAATGTTTTATTGAGTTCAACATTATTATCAAAATTTGACATATGATTATTATAAATTAATTTAATGATACATCTTTGGTGTACTAAACAAAAAAAAAAAAACTAATAAAAAAATTACATGGTTCTAGCACGTGACTTTCTTACCAGCTTTTATTTGTGATTCACGTGATATAATTTTTCCGATTGGATTCTCTAAAGCACATTTATAAATTGTTGTATGTATATCTGGTGTATAATCTTGAGAAGGAAACGGAGGAAAATACAAGCTACCACTAGGTTGAATTTCCCTTAAAATAAAAACACTTTTATTAATCACATTTTAAACATAAAAAAAAACTCATCAGAGAGGGGTCACAGCACAGTGGTAACGTGGCATAGTTGGGTCAAGTATAATGATATCTGACAGTAATTAAAATCACTATCATAAAAAACGCTTAGATACAAATATTTAGATAGTGTNAAAAAAAAAAGCTTTGATGCAAATCTTTAGATAGTTTTTAATTTTAAAAAATTGGTGGATTATTCCAAAAGCTACATGATCTGCTATTTCTTTATTTATATCCTGATTAAGATAAAGTATGTAGAATGAAAGAGGTATATAATATTATTTCTCATAAAATAATTATGTTGATCCATACACTTTTCAATAAGTTATAGCATTATAAAGTTAAAAAACCCAGCACAGGGGGGTTGCGGCACAGTGGTGACGTGGCATAGTTGGATCAAGTATAATGATATCTGACAGTGATTAAAATCACTATCAAAAAAAAAACGCTTCGATGCAAATCTTTAGATAGTGTTTAATTTTAAAAAATTGGTGGATTATTCCAAAAGCTTCATAAACTGCTAGTTCCTTATTAATATCCTGATTAAGA